CTCACTGCTCTTGATTGAATAACTTTTGTAACTTTAATAAGGATTAATCTTTAATTTATACAGTCAAATATGCAATGCTGTTTTACATTTCATTACTTTATTCAATTTCTGTACCTAAAAACTAATGTTAGGCTTACCTAAAAAAAAAAACTGAAAATCACTGTTTATTTTATTTGTGTCTTTACTCTATTGTATTTATTTGTGCTGTTGCTTCTAGTTAGATAGATTATTCGTATTTTCTTTATTTTTATTTGACAGTATTTGATAGTATAGTTTTCCCTAAACATAGCACATGCCGAACTATACCGAAACCATGACTTTAAAACCGTGATACAAACTGAACCCTGAGTAAGTTGAACTGTTCCACCCCTAAAGGCCAGTCATGTACTTAGTTCAATTGTTACACTCTTAAAAATAAAGGTGCTTCACGATGCCATAGAAGAACCTTTTTGTCTAAATGGTTCCATAAAGTACCTTTAACATCTTAAGAACCTTTCTGTTTCACAAATGATTCTTTGTGGAGAAAAAAGGTTCTTTAGATTATAAAAAGGTAAGAAAGAGATGGTTCTTTAAAGAACCCTTGACTGAATGGTTCTTTGTGGAACCAAAAATGGTTCTTCTATGGCATCACTGTGAAGATTTTTTTAAGCACCTATATTTTTAAGAGTGTTTGGTCAAAGAAAAATATAATCTGGCAGTATTGCTAGAATCATAGGTGGAGGGTGAACCAACTCCAGGGTAAGGCTAAAAGCAGCCAAATCTATTAACTACAAACATCATAAACCTGTCTTTTTAGGCAAGAACCAGGCATGGGTGTCATCTAGGCTAATTAAATATGTTTAATGGGACTGAATTTGCATTTAATGTAATTACAATTTAATTAAAACATTAGAAATTGATAATTATATAACGTTTCCTTCCCACAGTTATTCAAACGGCGAATAAATTATGTACAGAAATGATATTATCACTAACTTTGATCTATCGCACATTGACTAAATGTAAATGTAAATGTACAGAAATGATATTATCACTAACTTTGATCTATCGCACTCTCAAAAAAACAAAAGTATCGTTATAATCACTGAAACTGTCTACACTGCGAAATGAATCCCTTACTTACATTGAACGTACATCTGCGCTTTGTTGTTTATGATGAGAGAATTTGAACGTGCGCGCATTCAACAAAGCTGATGAGTTTCAGCGATGACTCATCTTATGAACGTCTCTGATTGGCCATTGTATTCCTAAGCTCAACAGAATCATGTGTGATTGGTTATAATGCGCAACACTGTAAAAACGCCTAAAATGAAATACGGTGCAACATGAGCAAATCTTAATTTAATGTCGCAGTCAACACTTTCTATTCATTTACACTTTGTTAGCAACAGACGTAATATTGACTGTATTGCAGACAAGGCTTAACTTTGCACTATCGCCTTGTTTGCATTGACTTGTGTATTGTTTGTCTCATAAAGAAATCTTGAATCTTGAATCTTAATAGATTTAATTTGTTTGTGCAGGGGCATTTTTGCCCCAAGACCCCGTGGCCAGGGGAAGGTTAAGCCTTCCCCAGCCTTACACACGCTCCGCCTATGGCTAGAATGTGTACATTCAGTCTATTTTTGAGAATGTCTTACATTTAATTCAGTTGTTTACATGTAATATCACCTTCTTTTCTTCTTGCTGTCTGCTATTTTTAGTGCAAATACAATCATTTTGGTTATTATATTTGTAGTAGGAAAGAAAAAGAAATTGTCTTGGCAAAGGGCACCATCTTATTTTGTTTAAATTTAAAGTGGCATGTGATTGACTGAACGCTTTAAAGTTAAGGGGAATTTGATTTTGAATGCAGAATTTACACTTATCCTAGACTGTAAATTAACTCAAGGTCTTGGTATTTGAACAGTGTGCACCCAACTTCTTGCATAAAACCTTTTTGCTGTATCTCATTTACAGTGAACACTGAGTCTGAGTTATGAATTCAAATGGCATTTCCAATAATGTGATATATAACTCATCTAACTTATCTAACCTTAATATAGCTCTTGTATTCTGCTCAAGTTTCCAGATATATGGAGCGTCTTACTCATTCTGACAGGTTCATTTATGATTTGTGTGAATATATTGTAGTTTGTCGGAAATTATGATTAAACTCTTTAAAAACCTTAGCATCGCCTTGCTTATTAACTCTGTGTAACTTTATGGCAACTTCAGTGAGTTTTAACTCATATTGACAGCCTCTTTAGCATCAGGTAATTGTACCAGATGTGAACAGAGCAACAGAAAGGGTTAATACATTTAAATATTGCCGATTTATCAGTTGCTTTGTATAGCGTGCTGTAGGTCAGAGGCCCTGATCCAATGACAGCATGCCCTATTATTTTAAACTATACAATATTTTTTTTCATTAACCTAAATGCCAGTCTACCTGTGACATTTCAACCTAATAAAGTAAGCTCTGATCTTCACCGCTGCCACTATCGAAATCTCTCCTGCGAAACTTCTAAGAAAGAAATGGCATGAGTTCAGTGGAATAATTATTTCCTTTATCATCAGCAGTCTGGCCATAATGTTTGTAAAGTAGTTGACTGGGGAAAAAGGAATTGATGAGACTGTGATCTGATGTGAGTAGGCAGAGACGACTCAGGATGAAGTTTTGCAATATGGCTTCGGTATGCTTTGCATAACACTAAGTACATGTTTGAAAAGCAGTTAGAGATGGAATTGTGTGCATATACAGTATGTGCTTAAAGCTCCTTTCTTATGAGATTTTTGGGTTTGGGTTATTTGTCATAAATTTAACAAAAGAAGAGCTAGAGCATGTTTAGAAAATACCCACTTGTTCCAAAAAAACGTTTTTACATTCATATTCATAAATTTTTACTGTTTATGCTTATACCTTTTGCGCCACTATATTTTATTTAAAAATGCTTCACGACCCAGTACTTTTGCTTAAGTAAAAATTAAAGGATAAGTGCTTATACTTTTACAGGAGTAATATTTTGTTAGTGTTTCTGTACTTTTACTCAAGTACATACTTGATGTAAAGTTGATTTACTTGAGAAAAAAAAAAACGTCAAAAGCAATGTGTCATAAGAGCAAAAATATGCATTGTACACAATGACAAACCATTTATTGTAGAGTTAATATATGTGGATTTATATATATATATATATATA